CCTTTGGTTGATCTGTTTGACATTCTATATAGCCTTTTAAAATGTAGCTCTTTTCTGGGGGGGTGTTATTGTTGTGATCTTTTCTGTGAATCGCCCTGAGACCTCCGGGTATAGGAAAGTAAGGTAAAGGTATAGGTAAAGGGACCCCTGACCATTAGGTCCAGTCGTGACCGACTCTGGGGTTGTGGCGCTCATCTCGCTTTATTGGCCGAGGGAGCCGGCATACAGCTTCATGTGGCCAGCATGACTAAGCTGCTTCTGGCGAACCAGAGCAGTGCACGGAAACGCTGTTTACCTTCCCGCCGGAGCGGTACCTATTTATCTACTTGCACTTTGACGTGCTTTCGAACTGCTAGGTGGGCAGGAGCAGGGACCGAGCAACGGGAGCTCACCCCATCACGGGGATTCGAACTGCTGACCTTCTGATCGGCAAGTCGTAGGCTCTGTGGTTTAACCCACAACGCCACCAGCATCCCAATATAGGAAAGTATATGAACTCAATTAATAATAATAATAATAATAATAATAATAATAATAATAATAAACAACTTAACACAAGAATGTTCTATTCAGCAACATCCTTGTAGCAAGCATGGCTGCTCTTAAGTTATCCGATATGAAGCATCAAGGAAGAGTACACGTTTGACGACAATCTTGTGAAGCATGGATTCTTGAGTCCTGTAAGGCCAGGCCTGGGCTTTATGGACGGTTGCTGCTAAGCCGTATGAGCTCCAGAAGTGCCGATTCTGTTCGCTAAGTTCTTGCAAGGTTCAGTGATTTCACAGTAGATCATTAAGCCTGTTTCCCCCTAAGGTGCTGACACCAAAACCTCTTTTCTCCTCTGATTTTCAGTTATGCTGGCATTTGCTGAGCCTTCTGTGACTCACTTGACATTTGCCCAGACTTGCCAAGCAGCAGCAAAGTCACCTCAAAGACCAAAGCATTCCAAATCTAGAGTGAATAAATGACTTTCTGAACGGGTTACATTACAAGGAGCTGTCTTAGGCCTTTCATCCACACTCATTACCCCGATGTAAATATTACATGTTTAAAATGATATACAGGCTGCAGTCCAAAACAACATTTACTCCACAGTGGTGCGGAATTAACTAGATCTTAGAGCATGGAAGGAATGTTAGCATGCATTTGCTTATCATCTTCCAGGAGCTTAAGTGACCTCTCCTCTCCTTTATTTGTGAATGCAGCATGGGAGTTATCAGCTTGGCATATTGTTTTGACTTTGAAAGGAGACACAACAGCATACCAAGCCTGCAAGGCTGCCTTGCTTCACTTTCACACATTTGTGGTGTGTTGGTCTTGCATTGAAACAAGCAGATCCTTCACGCCAGATGTCCACACGTATCTTGTGGTAAACCACAAGTGAAACGTGAGAACTTCAGAACATTATTACCAAGACTTTGTGGCTCGGGGTCAGTCTCTGTCATGTTTCCTCGTTGTCATCACTTAGAAAGGCTTGTGAAGGCAGATAGATCTACCACAAGGCTGTAAACAGGGTGGTGTGAGAAGCACATTCTGACATATCAACCACTAGCAATATACACATCTGCCAAAATATTTGCCGTGGTAAAACACTGCTAGAACATGGCTACCTGATGAAAATGGTGCCACGTATAACTGCTAGATTTTAATGGCTGCTTTTCACTTGAATGTTGCAAACCGAGTGAAATGCAAATATATTGCAATGATTCACAAACACTTCACCTGAGGAAGGTGAGATTTTTCCATTGCATTTTTCTTCCACTCCTTCAGTATACCTGAAGGAGCATCTCCACCCACATCGCTTAGCCCGGACACTGAGGTCCTCCTCCGAGAGTCTTCTGCTGTTTCCCTCACTGTGAGAAGCAAAGTTACAGGGAACCAAGTAGAGGGCCTTCTTGGTAGTGGCACCCTCCCTGCGAAACGCCCTCCTTTCAAATGTCACGGAGATAAAGAATGACACAACTTTTAGAAGACATCTGAAGGCAGCCCAGTATTGGGAGGTTTTTAATGCTTAATGTTCTTATTATGTTTTTAGATATGCCGTAAGCCGCCGGATAGGTAGGGTATAATTATAATAATAATTATTATTATTACTACTACTTGTACTTCTGCACTCTTCCCACCCATCCTTCATTAGCATCTGTGATAGACTAGGAGCACAATCCTACGCACACTTACTTGGGAGCAAACCCAATGCAGCAGGACTTCCTTCAGAGTAAACATGGTTTCCTTTCATTCTTAGATCTTATTTCTATCCCCATCTTTCTATGCCACAGATACGCTTGCGTCGGATTGCACTGAAAGTGCACTTTCGTAACAGTGGCTGTGCAGAATACGGTCCGATGAGAACTAGTAGACCCAATATCCTACAGTCATCCGCTTAATTCCTTCCAGGTGGGATTCTGGCACACTCAGGGCTGTTCATACATTTATAAGGGGAGCAGATGGCCAAGGTGCGCACACCCACTGAGAACAGCTGGCAGCTGTCACAGCAGCAAAATACGGTCCCATTTGATAATGAACTTCCAAAATAATTCACCTCCTGTTGGGAGACCTTGCACTGCACTCTGGCTGTATAAACACGGAGCATTTTAACTGAGAACCTTGCCATCATGAAGGGGAGAGATATTTTCTCCCCAAAGAAAAATGATTTAAGCTTATTTTAATGTTAGTAGTTGGTGAAAAAGCAAGGTAAATCTAGAGGGGTGTTTTTTTAAAATGTATGGAGCTGGGAATACATTAAACAGACAAGAACCATTGATGTGTCCTGTTGTGTTTTTTAAAAGAGTGCAACAATAAAAACATATAACAAATGTGCATTCTGGAGACTAGGAAGGCTAAGATTGTGCCCACAGAGGACCATCGCAATGCACAAAGCACTTTTGCAACTGTCTCTCATTTATTCAAATAGCAACAAACAGGCTAAAGAGGAGGGATGTTGACTTGTCCAAGGTCAAGCAAGTGAGCTTCATGGCTGGGTAGAGATTAAAAGCTAGCTTTCCCCTCTCAAAACCCAAGGTCCCATATTTCGTAGCCCATATCGATCTGATGGACTTCTCTTACATGTGCAACTCCCCATTGATGCGAGGGTTACTTCCAAGGCACCACACGTATATCTGAATTGTGTGTATATTTGAATTGTGTATATTTGAAACACCATTGAAAAAGCCTGCGAACGCCTTCTGAACCTCTGCGAACCCTTGAAAACCCCTATAAAAAACAACAACAACCAGCAGCACTTACCAGAGGCCAAACTCCGCCACAATTGCTCCCTCCAAATCTTCTTGCTCAAACCCCAGATCTCCACAGGTCTCAAGAGTCAGTGCAAGGACTCCTGGGGTTGCTAGATGCTGTTTTTGCAACTTTTTTGCCCTTTTGGGCTCTTTTAGAGCTGTTTTTGCCATTGTTATAGTCACCTCTGGGTTCAGCGTGATGCAGCTGTACACAACCGCATGTCAATTGACTGTTGCCTATACTTACTTCTGAGCAGACATGCACAGAATCAGGCTTTTAGCTGTGGAGTCACTCCAAGAGGTGACGAGCCTAAAATTGCCCTCGGTCCCATTGCCACCTTTGCTTCATCTCCTCCCCTGGAAATACAGTACAAAGATATTCAAAACAAATGCTTCATGCTTCATGTTGTGGTGGCCACTCATCGTAGAACAAATTAGCTCTATTTTATTTTTGTTCCCCCACATTTCTTGATGTATCCTGAGTAAATACAGCTGGCCATACCGTAAGAAAATAAGACATTGTGGATCATTTCCCTAATCCATTTTTTTCCTCCAGCTTATGCAAGTCAATTTATTCAAAGGATCTTCCATCAATATGCAAAAGAAGAAGAAGAAGAAGAGCAGATTTTCTTGGATGACCTACTGAGATAATAATGTACTCAACATATCTCTCAGATCCAACTGAAGTGACAAGTTTCTGTAGCATTAATCCTTCAGGGGATGTGGTTTGGAACGAGATCAGAGCGAAAAAAGGAGAAAACTTTGCTGTAGGTTAAGGATATGTTTTCATTTAAAAAGACGTCAGTCAGGTTAATTCACTCTATCACTTAACTGAATTAAAGGAACACCGAAGGTGTTGAACACACATTTTTAACTAGGGTTGCCCTGAATAATTCATGCAATGCTTGCTGGAAAACAACCAACAGGCACTGCACAGCTCTGAGTCCATGAAAACAGAAAAAGGGATTGAGGGAGGGAGAAACCACTTAGAAATATTATGTTGTCAAGCGGAAAACTATATGTTTACGCTTTCTAAACCACGGCTATGTGTTTAATCTTCAAACTTTGAAACGCAACATGTAAAAAAAAAAAGGAAAATAAGGAAAAACAGCTTTGTGCTTTGTGCATCTGTAGAATGTGCTACTAGGCCCTTTGAGGCCTAGCTGTAGGTTGCCTTTTTATGTTTATAAAACTCTTGCAAAATGCATTTTACGCCATATGAGGGAACTCAGCAAAGCAAGTTCCCACTTATAATTTGTTTCTAAGCAATGAACATGTTACAATTAGCTGCTCCAGTTGCAGGATGCTGGTTTGTGAGGGAAGTAAAATTCTTAAAATACAGCTTGTGTTGTTGTGGTTTCAAACAAACTCAAGGGTTGGCTGGCCAAGCATTTTATTACTTCATTATTGTTATTACATGTATATTGCACATTTCCCTCAAAGAGCTCAAGGGGACCTATATAATTCTCCCCCTCCTCACAACAACCACCTTGTGAGGTAGGTTAGGCTGAAAGACAGTGATTTTGCTATGCATTTCTATAGCAAAGGTATTACACACACAAACACACACAGTAGCAGAAGGAAGGGGGGGGAACCTGTTGACTATTTCTACTTGGTATTCCCCACTTTCAAAAAAGAATGCACAATGTTAAAATTATGCATCCAGGGAATCCAAATTCAGCGCAAACCGAATCAGTATGCTTACGAAGATTGGTCTTGTTTACATATTTTATTTATTTTGCATAATTTATACCCTTTTGTATATTTCATTCTGCTTTTCCTAATCACGGAAACAGGCCTGGAGCTTGACAAGACACGGCAGCCTCAACTCACTCAGAGGAATCCTTATTTAGCCTTCTGACTAATTAGATTTTTATCCCCATACTTCCAAGCATGTCTTCCTACTCTTAATGGCTAGAATTCTGGTTTATTTATTTTTATGGAAACTGGATCAAGCACCCTTTCTACACCCCCTCCAATCAACTTTGTAGCATTCACGGCTGCATTTTAAGAACAACAGACAGGCACCAGTATCAGAAAGCTGCTTCATATCTCCTGCTTCTCATCTAATTTGGCCCACGTTGTGTGTTTCCATGGAATCGGGGCATTGACACAGCTCTGCCAATACTCTCGGTTGCCCTGATGACGAGTGGTTGATTTTATCAAGGCTGCCATTTTGAATGCCATTTCCACGCTTGATGTAAGTTACTGAGGCATTTTTGGAAAGGCCTACATTCGCGAGCTCCTTTCATCACAGGACTCAGCTATACAGTAAATGTAAAGTGTAATATACAAATGTGACACTAGATGGTGACACAGAGCTATGCAAAATTCAATGTGTTTTTCAAAACATTTTTTTTTAAAAAAGCATTTTTACAGCGTTTTTTTGTATGTGTGTAGTTTCCACCACAGTTCTCTCTATATGTTGAGTGATGGAAATGAGGGAGAACAAGCCATTAATTAATATTATTTATTTGAGAAGCACGCAGAATCAAACTGAATTGTTTGTTTATTTAGAAGAAAATCCCATGCCTCACGTCTATTTTAAGAACACAGTCTTTCTGTCAGAGGCTTGAAGCAGGGAGACATGGCTACCAGAGAGGAGCCATGACAGACTTTAGAAAATAAGTAAGCTTCAAATTCAAAAGAGTACCTCCAGGAAAAAAAGCACTTATTATCTGACTGGCAAAGGCAAAAGCCAGACAGAATAGAAAAGTCTTCACTAGCTGGTGGAAAACAGTAAAGGGCGGTTGTGGGGCGAGCAGCCAAACTTCATAGAGCAAGTCGTTCTGCATTTTGGGTGCTGCACAGAGAAGGCCTTCCTTCAATGTGTTGCCCTCTGTTTCTTCTAGGTGGGATGCAATGGCCTTTCTACCAGGGGCAGGAAGCAGGCTGACAAGGAAGGAGGCAGTCCTTTAGGTATCATCGAACCAAGCTGCTTAGGACTTTAAAGGTAATTACCAATGCTTTAAATTGTGCCTGGTGCAGGATAAGCACCCTGTGGTCTTTGCCACCTCATTGCAGCCCAAATAAGGCTTCTGAAATGCTCAGTTGTTGCTTTCTTATCTCTGTAGATGATTGTGTGCTTTGTTGTGCTATATGGGGGAGAAGAACAGACAGAAACTTTGACTCGCAGATAAAGGGAACAACAGGCTCAATGGAGTTTTCAGTGTACAGATACATCTCTCCAGTGATAACCTTTGCCCAACTTAAGCAGAACACAGAAGAGATCCAAAGTGAAATTGCTTGACTCTTGGCCATGGGTTGGCAAACTAAGTCCCGGGGGCCGGATCCGGCCCAATTGTCTTCTAAATCCGCCTGCGGACGGCCTGAGAATCAGCGTGTTTTTACATGAGTAGAATGTGTGCTTTTATTTAAATGCATCTCTGGGTTATTTGTGGGGCCTGCCTGGTGTTTTTACATGAGTAGAATGTGTGCTTTTATTTAAAATGCATCTCTGGGTTATTTGTGGGGCATAGGAATTCGTTCACCCCCCCCCCATATAGTCTGCCCCCCTCCACAAGGTCTGAGGGACAGTGGACCGGCCCCCTGCTGAAAAAGTTTGCTGACCCCTGCTCTTGGCAGTCATAGAGAAAGCTATTAACAACAGAGGCAGGGCTGAGATGTGGGAAGGGCTACGGCCCGGTGGCAGAGCCTGTGTTTTGGGTGCATAAGGTGCCAGGTTCGATCCCTGACATCACCAGGTATGGACCCCTGCCTGAAACCCTAAAGAACTGCTGCCAGTTAGTGTAAGCCGCACTGCGCTAAATAGGGATCAATGGTTTGACTCTATAAAGGCAGGATCCTACGTTCTCATGATGAGCAACCACTATGCACCTAGTACATAACCTCAAACCTTTCTCCGATGGAAATAGGGACAAACTCTATAATAATAATACCCTGCCCATCTAACTGGGTTGCCCCAGCCACTCTGGGAAGTGCCCACCATATAAAAACATAAAACATAGAGTGGTAGTTAGAACTGACAGAATATGCCAAATGGGCAAATTTAACGATGAAAATCGGAGACCAAGCAAGGGCAGATTTTAAGGAGGAGTGGAAACCTTATGTTGAATATTTAAAGAATTGTTGCATGTCGAGGTCCCCAAGCCACCCCCTAAATAAACCACAATTTACACAGAATTTTTGTTTAAGGTTTTTGGCATAATTTTGGCCACAACTTTATTAAAATACATAATATGAGTGGTTGCTTAGGCATTGGTTATGACTATCTGTCCCCGCCCCGGGACAGAACTGACTTCTGGATTTCAGCGAAAGCCAGTAAGGGAAAACAATATTGGGGAGAGAATAGGACTGGGCACTACACCGCCACCTCTCCCTGCATGCTCCCAGGGGCTTGCACGGCCCTAGCCCCTTGCCAGGGATACGGAAAAATGTATGGCAAGCCCCTGGATTCCTTTAATGGAATTCCCTTGCAGCAGCAGCATTGGAGGGGCAGGCACAGCCAGCCCTTACCCCTCCACCAACCAAATTTTAACCAATCTCTAACCGCAGCCTTACAAGTTGTGACAATTTGCTGCGCAGTAGGCAAAAAACCAAATGGCACCAGCCAATCTGCCAAATGGACAAAATTCCTACCAGGCCCCTGCCCCAAAAGCAGACAACCCCATGACAGGCATAGCAATGTCAAACGCCACAGCCCTAAATTAGGGAGGGTGGGCGGGTGATCCAATGCCCGCAGCAAAAGAGATTGAAAAAAGCTACGTGCCAAGAATATATAACCTTCGGGCCAACCCTCTAAATGGCAACATCAAAATCTCCCCAACAACCCAAATTGGCCCAGTCACAGTCATGGCCATCCAAATGGTCCCGCCCAGTAACCAAGAGGGGGTGTCCTGTTAGACCCCACCGCAACACATGCTCCCCATGAAGGAGAACACGTGTTGTAAACGTGCCGCAACACGGGTAGGATTTGAATGAAGATCAGCAGTTAAATACTGTGGAGAAGATGGCATATGGAATAAGTATAATAAGAAATTATGGAAATTATGAGGGAGACTATGGAAGGGTGGGCTGGAAGTCAAATGTGAAATGAATGTGAAGTGGGAAAGCATGTATTAATTTGTAAAGCTTTGAAATGCAGAAACAAAAACTATAAGGAAAAGAAACGAAACTGGGGTGACTTCTGTAATATTGTTCCTGAAAAATAGAGACCCTTGGAGGGTCTGCTAGTAGGCTGCAGAATGTCACCAGGTGTCATCTTTCTGAGGGCTTCCCAAAATCCAGAGCTCGCTCTTAAACTGGAATATGATGCCACCAGGAGCTGATGCCATGGTCAGGAAGGCCCTACACACCCCTGGTGTGGTTTGGTCATCCTTGCCATGTGGAATCTGCCCACTGCTAGGGTGACATTTGAAAGACCCTTACGTGGAATCTCTTTCTGTGTTCTTTCACTTGACTGTCTCAACACACCTTCAGCTAATGATGGTGCCAGCAAATGAGTGGTATGTTTGTGGGATGAGCAAAGATCCCTGGCAAGCAGGGAGAGATAAATAATAGAAGGGCTTCTTAGGGTTTTATTTCTGCTCTAAAAACAGCAGTATATTTTCCTGTCCCTTGCATGACAGGGCTCTCCTGACTTCAGCGGAAGCTGTTTCCATGCAGAGCTATAACTCTTAAGCTGGAAAAAAGAAAAAGAAATAGCCTGATATGAATATGGCACGTTCAGTAATGTGCAGAACTAATATGCATCTTTCATTTGAACAAAGACAAGGAATGTAGAATTCCCAGGGCACCACTCTGAATACCCCCCAGGTAGAGATGTAATGGAAGAAATAAGAGTCGGGCAATTACTTTTCACTCTCCTGCTTCCTCAAAGAGGACCTGATGGGAGACATTTAGAAGTATTAATTTCTGACAGCAGGCAGGGAGCCAGAGGTCAAAGGGCAAATTCTTTTCACCATGACACATTCAGGAGCATTCAATTTACCTTTGTCATCTCCATCTCAAGTAGTCCATGCACAAGAATGGAAACAAAGCACATAACCGGAAAGCAAAACAAGCAATTGACGTCAGCTCCTGCTCTGAAATAAAATGTGAACAGGCACGGAAAGTTTCAAATATCAGCAGAAGAATCAAATGTTATACAAGAGTAACCATCTTTCCTTGAAATATATGCATTTGCCTTCAGCTCTATTTTCTCTTGCATGCCAGAATAAATATATTTGGTGCTTTTAAGAGTGCAGTTAGAAATTCACAATATATTGGTTTCTTTTATTTCCATACTGTCGGACTTATTCGCCTTAGGCAATGTACAAAAGCAATGCATTCAAATGTTGAAAACGCATTCAGATGCTGAAAAACAGCACATAAAATATTGCAAGGCCAGGGCTTTGTTCTAATAGCAGTGAGATATGGCAGTAAACCACGTCAGGCTGCAGGTGGAATATTCCTTCAAAATAAATAAAAACCCTGCACATAGAAAACAAGATCCTCCTTTCAGTTCACATTCTGTGAGACTGCATGGAAGAGAAGAGAAAGGCTATGCATGTTCACTGAATGCCTGAAGTACTAGGGCAGAGCTGGAATGTTACCTCAGATTTACTAACCTTATTCACAGTGTGTGTATGAAATTTAGGAGGAGTGTGAAGATGTATTATGGCGGTTTATGGGGGGGTGGTTGTGTGAAAGTTTAAGATCGGGCAGCACCATCTTTCCCCCCTCACAATTCTCCTCTGAACACTGCTACGTGATGACATCACATCGTTGTGAAGAGACATGTGAGGTTGGATCAGAGGGGCTGCAGCCAGCTCTCAGGAGGAACCCTGACATCCCCAAACAGGGGGTGGTGAAAAAAGATGCAGTGAAGATGCATTGTATCTTTTGCCTCCCACCCCTCTTCCTCCTCCTTTTCCTCCTCCTCCTCCAAATTTGAGCCAAAAGTTCTTCACAGACAACTGCCATCGCTGAGGTGCACGTCTTGCTGCAGCTGTCCTCGTTGCCTGGCCCTGGTCAGCCATTGGCCAAATTTTGCTGTTTTTCTTTAAAAATAAATAAATACATTTCTCTTACTAGAGTTGCAGGGTTCAGTTTCCTTGATAGAATCTGCAGGAGTGGACAGGTCCAAGAGGCATCTTGTCTACCACAGATGCCTTACAAATGAACCCTAAGTAGGGATGAGTAAAGCTGTCCACTTGCCATTTCTCTCACTTTCTCATTTTCCCAATCTTACATCCAGTTCTCTGTTATTTTCGCATCAGTTTGAAAATCTTTTCTATTGGCTAGCACAGAACGCTTTGTTCAAGCCTAATTTTGGGTGTGTGGGACCCTGTGGGCATCAGGAAAGGCCTCTCCTGTGCGCTTGTGAGCACCTCACGGACAAGCCCTGCTGTTATGTACTGAGTTGAATAGGATTGAAAATGCAGCAGTCTGATTGGCCCTAGAACAATAGGATCCAAAATGCAGCAGTCTGGTTGGTCCTAGAACAATAGGATTCAGAATGGCAGCCGTCTGATTGGTCCTAGAACAATGCAGCAGTATGATTGGTCTGCAGGAGCCACCCAATCCAGCTCCAGATGGAAGTGAATCTACAACCTGATTGGCTTACAGGAGAATTCCAAAATTAGCCAATCACGTGCAGCCCATTGTGTAAATAATGTATATAAAGCAGATACTGTGGGGAACAATTCATTCCTCCTCACCACTATGAGCTGAATAAAGAGCATGAAATCCACTCTAGACTCTGAGTATATTTCACCTGCCATAAATACTTCAAGTGTACCAAGCCAAAGTTGTGCATTTCCTCCTTATAACAGCAACCATGTCACTAGTTGATGAGCTTGCTGCAAAGCCTGTTAAACTCCTTTACACGCTAACAGTAAAAACAATAAATCCACCAGAAGATTACATTTTAATGGCCTCATATAGATGTGGCGCTTGACTCCCCTTCCCCAGTTTATCGCTCCTATGGCATTTTAAAATAACCGTGTCTGAGTCATCATCAGAGGTCTGAGAAGACGTACCAGTAGATGAGGAGGAATCTCCATCTCTGCGCCTCTGAGCCCTTCGTTTGGAGCGATGACTCCTCTGCCACTTGCTACCAGATGAAGGGACTCTAGGCACTGGGAGTTCTTCCTCTGAAGACTGGACACTGAGCGCCTCCCTTGAAGGGGCCAACCGAACCTGCACAGAACTAAAAACATGTGAGGAGCTTGGATGGGAGCTATTTCCCCCTCCCGCATGCTGTGCAAGTTGAGGCCCTGAGCTCCCACACCCTGGGGGTGCTGACTGCGAACGAGGCAGTATATATAGGGTATATATAGGTCCCTCGAACCGTTTGGACTGCGCCCCATTGGCCAGAG